TGCGGACCTCCGAAAACCCAAACTACAAGCCCCCCGTCACAGAAGCTCTGAAGCTCCAGAGCAAGTTCGAGAGCATATGCCAAGAGTTCATAGCCACGCCAAGCCATGTCCCAGCAGTTAGCTCTGCCCTTTGCCAGACGGGAGGACAGACGTGCACAAAGCAGAGCCAATGGCGTGAAGTTCATGAAGCACAGTCGTCTGTGTTTATTTTCTCCCTCCCCGATTGGAACTGAACTCCCCTGCACTGCAGTCTTATCTGCCTTGTGCTACCACCGTAGCCCTGGGCCCTGGCAGGATGCCCTGTACACAGTGTGCCTTTGATAAATTCCTGGGTGAGTGAAAAGGGATGCGAAGCACATGGGTAAGGACGAGTTTTCCCTGCGCCCTCTCTGTCCACTTCCTGGACACGAGCTGTAACGTCAAGGGACGCTGACCCACCTGGATGATCCTTGGCTCCATGTGGAGCAGCGAAGTGGACGAGCGGCCCCTCGACGTGTTACAGGAAAGGGAGAGAAATGAGAAGTCAAGGACGGGAATCGAGTCCTAGCTCCCCATGGGCTAGGTGAGTGGTTAAGCGAGTAAGAAAACAAAATAGTACCCCCGCTCTCTCCAGTGTGGTGCTGCAGCGAGGACACGATGCCCGGAGCCTGCTGAACCTCCTCCGGCCCCACAGAGACGATAAGGCCTCTTCATTAAGGTTCCAAATCAAGCGATCTGACAGGTTTTAGGAGCCACAAGCAGAATACTACAAGTTGAACAAGATGTTCTCTCATGGTGTCATTTTCCTAGAACAGAAACCCTCCTAAAATCTTCCTAAAAATAAGTCAATTATAGTTTCATTTTCTCAGGAGGAGATAAACATATCAAAACACAACACACTTAGCTTTGGTTTTTAAAGAGCCCCTTGGCTCCTGGGGGCTAAGAGGGCCAGTGTCCTTTCCACACAGGGGTCAATGACTCTGAAAAGAGGAAAACCACTCCTCCTCCTCTCCTTCCCCTTCCCCCGCCCCCCTCCCCAGCCCCTGGCAGGCTGTTGTAGAAAGCGGAAGTATCTAAGCTGAGAATCACTGACGAAGACAGTACCACCAGAGGAAGTTACAAAACAGCCTTTTGGCAACCGGGGCCCAAGCAGAAGACAGATTCTTCACATCCAACTATCACTGACCCTTTGGTAATCGGATCTGAAAAGTAGCTGAAACAAAAATTAGGAGCCAACATGAGATGGTCCTTGCTTTTGTCTTTCTGAAATTAAAAGAAAAAAAAAATACAGTTGCCATTAAAGTCCCATTTTTTTTTCATGCAGTATGTGGAGAAGGAACTGGCTGCATTTATCCAAGCACAGGTGTGGCCAGGCAAGAGGCCAGTGCTGAGGGCCAGGTCAGCCTTGCTTCCTCCTGATCGTGGCCAAGGCACACACTGCAACAAGCAGGAGACTCGGCTGTCCCGGCCTCCTGGACGTGAAAGTCCAGGAGCCACCACGGACCCTCACAGCTGCCGTACAGGATGGGGGTCCGGACCCACAGGCAGTGCGGGTGTGCGGATGCGCAGGCTGAACAGGTCCCACCAGGTTACCCCTCCAGTCCTCAGAGCTCTCTCTCCAAGATAACAGGAACTCAGGAGGACAGAGGGTTCTGCACCGGGTGGGGCTTGCAAGTGAAGATTCATCTAAATCAAAGGAAATGTAACCTTTTCCTCTCTTAACCACATCTGACTTTTCATTTCGCCTTTACTGCTGGGGGTCAGGGAACCTGCGAGATAGCCATCGTCCTTCTCCGTGGCACAGCGAGCAGCTGACAAACACCAGCGAACTGAGGGCTTCCTCTTTTTGTTAAGTAAGTAGATAAAACACCATGTTTTCTCGCCACTTCCATGGCTTCAGGGTTCCTAAGCACACACTCGGATACGCTACTGGACAGCCCACAAAACCCTCACTCGCTCCCCTCGACCTCAGCAAGTGCTGCCTAGCCCCCTGTGCTGAAAACTGTAGCTGTGAACTCAGGGGCAAGCGTGCTTTTCAGGAAAGCATCTTTTACTTAGACAGCCCATTCATTAACAAGTAAATTACCTAGTGTGTTCAAAAACAAAGACTTCTAGGGGCATGGCTACTACTTAGCTCTGACCTAGCTATGTGATCTTTAAAAGTCATTAACTTCCCAGAGAAGCAGCTTTCCACAATAAAATAAAAAGGCTAAACTAGACCAGCAAATATGCTGGTCATACTTTAGCATAATGTCAAATGATTAAAAAAAAAAAAAAAAAAAAAGATAGAACCTCGGCTAAGTCACATGCCAGTCCAGTTCAGGTTCTCGGAATACCGGCTGTTTTCAGAGATTCCCAAGTGACTCTGAAGTGCTACTGGGGGAACAGATCCGGTGGCCTAGACCCCAACCCCCAAGGCCGCTTTGGTTACAAGATCCTAACACAAGGGCCCAAGCAGCCACAAAAGCACAAGCTCTAGGTACCAACATGCCATGCCATGCCACGCGCGGGCACACACACACGCACCAGAAGAGCCACCTGAATTCTAGACATTTCTCTAAGGGCAGAATCCTAGGCACATGTCAGAATACAGGCAGTGTGGCTCAAATGCACACGCCTGCCTCAGATGCCTTCTCGGGACAGGAATCAGCTCCCAGATGTGGCTGTGTGGAAATGGGGCACAGGGCGCTCCCGATCTCTCCCTGCCTCCCTCCCTCCCCTCTTCTAAACCACAACCACAAGAAAAGGTTGGCTATTAGTCATTATCGGAATAGAAAGCCAGCCCGAGTTTCACAGGGCCGTCTCCATCATCAAAGACGAGCAAGATCCTCCACGGCTGTGTCTCCTGAGGAGGGTCATCTTGCAAAACCTCGAATTATTTTTCTATCTTTGAGCATTAGTAAACATGTGTTATTCGTACACAGTCATAAGAAAAAAAACCCTTACGTAAAAGCAATCATAAAGTGTGTACCCTATAGGAAAAACATGCCAAGCTCTCAGAATTTCAATTGACAGGATTTCATGGGGTTTAAGCCAAAGAGAAATGAGATAGCATGGTGAGATAAGCCTAACCATGAGACAGTACAATGGTTATGACACAAACCCACAAGGTTTGTGACTAGGTCCTAAGTCTCTACTGTAACTCTAGCAAGCTCGCAAATGTAGCTAGTTCCTACTAGTTTTGGTAATACTACTTTCTCTCCTATATTGCAAAACCAAAAGTCAAACTCATGAAGTTGTTATTATCTTTCACTGCAAACACCAAGCAATATTATTTGTGGTAATAAGCTACCTTTGCAATCTAAACAACAACAAATAGGAAAGGCGAAACAACTTTCTGCATGAACAAGTTCTTTGCACTGTATCCAAACAGGCAGGGCTGAATTCCAAGGGCTGGAAATCTCAATCTTTCAAATCCCAAAACCATCTTCTCTGACCTCGCACCCTCACCCCCACCCTGACACACACAGCTGGAAACCCAGCACCTTAGCACAGCTGCCGAAATGAAACTGCTCCAACTCTGACTTTCTGGAACCCACAACTGCCATTCCTTTGAAAAGCTATATAGCCAGAATCCTAAGGGCAGCATGTATGAGAGAACACAGACTTCGAGAAGACTGTCAAAGCACTTGCCAAGTACCTACACTAGGCATCTCCAATACTAGTAATTAAGAAAGAGACTTCGCAAGGTTTTACAGAAACAAACTACAATGTTTCCCACATGCAATGCTCGAGCTTTTCTTATACATTGCTCCGCTCTCCGTGGCTTCCATTTGGTTCTCAGCTGAGATGAAACCAGGATGCAAGGAGGCAGCCCGGCTCCCTAAGGGAGGGAGGGACAGGAGCAGGAACCCGAGATCTCTGGCACAAACATTACATTGCAAACAAGGGCAACTAATGAGGAGTGGTGTTTCCAACCATGCAGGGCTGTCTCCGGGCCTGCACGGGCTCTCATCTGGGCCAGGGAGCAGGGTCCAGCCTGCAGCCTAGCTGGGGCACAGGGGTTAATGCCTAATTGCAGGAAGTCATTACATCACAGGCCTTTCCACACCTCTCCAGACCGCGGGGGGCCCCCAGAGGCAGAGAAGGAACAGTAAGGAGCCCTTCTCTATAAAAAAAAAAAAAAAGCTATTATAGCCCAACCCTGCAACCGAACTTTCCCCCTAACAGCTAATCCCGCCCCCCCCCACACACACACTCACCTGGACCTGCCTCCCGCAGCGCCAGAGGGCGGGCCCAAGTGGAGGCAGCAGGTGCGGCTCTCCACCTGGAAGTGACAACGCGGCTATGCTAGGCCTCCCCTCCAACCTAACAACACTTCAGCAGCTACGTGAGTGCAGGTTTACTGGGGGGAAGGGGCTGGCATCGCGACAAGGTAAAGGAGTCAATAGCATTGGCAAGAAAAGCCAGCCAGGAAGGGGCTTGCAAACACTATCTTTCCTGCGGTGCTGCCTGCTCCTCTGTTTAACACCTCCTGGACCCTCCGCCTCTCACGCAACTAGTCACATATCGGAAGCACGCGTGCAACCACGCATCCCCGCACCAACTCGCAAACACTCCCCCACACCTTCACCCTCTACTCCCAGCACCCCTGCGCACCTTTCCTCGCCCTCCCCCTACTACGGAGAACTCTGTTCCAAAGTTGGCAGCTGATCGTCTTACCTCCTTCCCGCCGTTCCGAAGAATCCAACCACCGCACTCGCGGCCCGCCCTCCCCACAGACCAGGCCAAGCCGAGACTCCCCGACGTGCCCCCGCCCTCGCCCCCCATGCTTCAGCAGTGGCCTGGGTCGCCCTCCGCCTGGAGAGATAGGGGTCGCACGACCCCCTTCCGCACCGAGTCTTCACCAAAGAGCCTCCACCCTGGCCATCCCAGTTCCCCCTTCTCCTCCCCCTCCTCACACCCTTGCGCAGGTGCGCCCTGATCCACTCCAGACTCATTCCTCGCCACACAAAAGGCCCGGCGGGTCCCGCCGCCAGCCTCCCCTCCACCCCAACCCCCGGGGGGGAGCGAGTTCGCACCTTCCAGCCAGCAGAGCTGTTGCTGTCGCCCTTATCCTTGAAGTAGGGCACGCAGCGCACCATCCACTCGTAGATCTGGGACAGAGTGAGCCGCTTGTCCGGGGAGCTCTCGATGGCGCGAGTGATCAGGTCGGCATATGATAGGTTCCCCCAGGCGTTCCGCCGCGACGAGCATTTCCTCGGCTGCCCCGAGCCCCCGGCCGCCCCCGACTGCGGTGGTGCCAGCGGCTGCTGCGGCTGCAGCGGAGGAGTCTGCGTCCCGCCGCCCAGCGCGCCCGCCGCGGGGGCTGGCCCCGGCCCGAGGTCCTGCCCTCCGGGAGCCAGCAGCTGGGACGAATCCTCAAGGAGCAGCCCGGAGCCCAGCGTGCCGCCGACGCCAACGCCACCGGCGCCGCCAACGCCAACGCCGCCGATCGCCATGGCCGAGGCAGCGCGGCCGCCGCCGTCCTCGTCGTCTTCATCGTCCTCCTCCTCGGGGATCATGGAGTCGGCGGCCGTATCCCCCGGGGGCTTGGCAGGGCTCGCCTGGAGCTCCGGCCTCTGCAGGGGCCAAGTACAGGAACGCGGTCGGCTCTGGGGCTCGAACTCCGGGTCCAGTTCCACTTCGAGCGGAGAGAGCGGGGCCGGGGAGGCCGGCGCCTCTGCCATCTTCGGCGCCCGCTCGCACCGCACCACGCCGCCTGCCCGCTCGCGGCTCCTCTGGCGCTTCTCCTCTCGCGCCCGGGCGGGTGCGGCAGGGGGTGGGAGAGGAGGGACGGGGGGCGCTGCCGCTGCTGCTTGCTGAAAAAGCACAAGAGGACAGACAACGGGAGTTGGTTATCCTGGGCTGGAGCCCGCTGCCCGGCCAGTCCTCACTCGCCGCCGCCGCCACCACCGCCGCGCCACCACCGCACCCGCCCGCCCTGGCACAGGCAAGACCTGGAGACGTGCGTCCCGAGAACCTGGCGCAGCAGACGCCGCCCCCTGGCCAGGCCGCGGGGGAGACGCGGGCGAATCGACGGCCGCGCACGGGGCAGCCCCCTCCCCCGCCGCCGCCGCCTGATCTGCAGGTCTCTCCCCGGGCTAGGTGGCAGGGCGGGGGAGGGGAGGCCGAGGCGGGGAGAGGAGGGGGGACGGGCCGGGGGAGGGGTGCGCCGCGCCTTTAAAGCGGTCCACCGGCCCCGAGCTGGCGCAGCCTAGCCGCGGTCGGAGCCCGAGCGGGCGTGCGTTTGTTTATGTTTCGCTCCAGCCTGCTCCCGTGCCTCCCGCGGCGCCACCGTCACCACCGAAGTCGGTGGCGTCTTCCGCGCAGCACCCCTTCCCTCCCCTGCCCCCAGCCACCCCAGTCCTGCTGCCTCGGCGACTCCCGGCCCCCTTCTCCCCACCTCTTGGCCCTGGAGCCGAGGTTGGGGGGAAGCGGGGAGAAACAGGGTCTGGGCGCAAAGTGGGCCTTGTCACTTCTAAAATAAGAACCGGAAAGAAGGGGGGGGACAAGGCGGCCCCACACGGGTGTCCGCCACGGAGGGGCTGGGGGTCCAGCCCCGGCGCTAGGTACGGCTACTTCGGATGGGTCCGTGTGGTAGATTTTCCCGAGGCTGCCTTGTCCTCCGTTCGCTGCCCAAGGAAAGGGCAAGAAGGAGTATAAATCTTCCAACAGGTCTGGAAGCGCCAAGTCTCCCCGGGCTGCCAGAAAGCCCCGGGGCCGTCACGTTCATCACCTCCCCGCTCCAGCTGCTGCCATTTTGACAGTTTCCCCCCTTCTCTCAAGTCCTTTTAAACACACACACACACAGACACACACCAGCGGCAGCGCAGAGGGGGACGCGCACAACGAGTCACGGGGAGGGGAAAAAGGGAAGCGCCTGGCCCCGCTCGGAAGCAGATCCGGAGTCACTGGGGAAAGGCGGCCGCCCCGCTTGCACAAGCTCCTGAACCTACCTCGGCTGCCTTTCTCCTTCAGGGACGAGGCGGGAGGACGCGCAATTCCACGCGGGCCCGGGCCACGGGGAGGAGGGGGCGCGTAAGCTGGGCCGAGGAGAGGCGCTCGGGCCGCCTCCGCCGCAGCCCGCGCGAGGAACCGCCTGTCAGCCTGCGCGCCGCCGCCGCCTTCCACATTCCTCCTCCTCCTCCCTTCCACGAGCAGGGCTGCCGCGGCAGCAGCACAAAGTTATAGACACACGCAGGGAGCCTCAACCTAGGCTGACGGCGGACGGGTCCCCGCCCAGGGGGAGGGCCGGGGCGGGGGCCGCGGGCGCATGGTTGCGTGTGTGTGTGTGTGTGTGTGTGCGTGTGTCTGTGTGTGTGCGCGCGCCTGCGCGTGGGAGTGCGGGGCGCGCGCCGCGGGGTCTGCAAGCCCAGGGCTCTCGCCGCCGCCTTCCCAGCTGGGCATCTCCTGCCGCCCTGAGAGCCTGGACAACAAAGCACGGCGCTGACCCACGGGCGCGCGCCAGAGAGGTGGGAGAACGCGTGAAAGAGCTCGTGGGGCCTCCCCGAACCTCCACGGGGCACAGTCCCTTGGGCCTCTTCGGAGCTGGGCAGCCCCCCCCCCCCAGGCACCAAGAGGTCCCTGGCCTGCTCGGCCGCCCACCATCCCGGGCTCGGAGCCCTTCCCGGTGTCGGATTGCCCACATTAGAACCGGACACCAGGTAACACCTGAGATAAGATGCTGCCAGCTGGTGGCGAGGAAACAGCGAATGGCGAAGGTGGTGGAAGTGCCTGCGGTATGCACCAGATGCGCTCAGGACCCCCCGAGTCCCGCAGCGCGCACGCTCTGCTTGCAATCGCCTTGCATTTTTGGAGTTCATGGCCAGTGGGGGTTAGAGAAATGCAATCAAGGAAAAAAAAAACTCTTACCCACCCCCCCCCCAGTCTTAAACGACAGAGAAGGCTCGGAACAATTGAGAATGGGAAGTCATTTTATTCTCATTGGACGGCAGAACTTCTGGTGGTGCATCTGTATCTTTCTGTTTATTTTTAATTTTGCTTCATTAGTCGTGATCCAATGATGCCAGGTTCAGCTCGTTCCTCGTCAGCCACTCAGCCTAAGAATGCACAACATCAACGTACATGCACGCCAAAAGCCTATCCGCTGTGGTGGGGGGAAAAAAATTACCTGCTACAGGGGTTAAAAAATGAGCCGCTGGAGCTCGGCATTTGGCTGTGCAGAAGTGGACGCCGCACCAAGCCCACTCACATAAAAGCTGCGGCCGAGCGGCCGCCCGCCTCCGCGCAGTCCGCGCTCCGGGCTTTGCGCAAGGCCCGTCACTCAAGTGACGCGCGGCCCCGCCCCCTGCGCCAAGCTAGATGGACGCGTACAAACAGGTGATGTCATCGCCTCCACACGCGCGTGACCCCGAGCTCGGCGCCGCGTCGCCATTCGCTGCGCCGCCGCCTCATCAAGCCACGCTCGGCGCTGACTGGCCGCGGCCGCCCGTCTGCAGGCCCCCGACGCCCCTCTCCGCCCCCCAAAGCAAAGAATAAACAATCGAGTGAAAACAAAAAAATTAAGGAAGTACGGAAGGGAGTGAGGAGAGAGACAAGGACAGGGTCGTCCCTCAGCAGCCGCGCGCCAGGCCCTGGCAGGGCTCCCGGGGGACACGCAGGGGAGCGAGGGAGCCGACGTGGGCGGTGAGGAGTCGGCGCGCGGGAAGGAAAGTTGGGAGCGCGGGCGGCGGCGCTAAGGCCCGGGAGCCCCGGCGTCGGGGCGGGGACGCGTGCGGGAGGAGGCCGGGCGCGCGCCGCTCGTGCGCGCGCGGGGGGCGCGCGCTTGTTTACCAGCGCACGTGGGTGTTATTTTTAAATGGAACGCGGCGCTGGCTGCGCGGCCGCGGGGAGTGCGCGTGGGGCCGCTCGAGCTGCTGGGGGACGCGGCGGCACCCGCCCTGTCCGGTGGCCGGTGCGCGCGGCCAGCTTAGGCTCGCCGTCCCTGCTACCCCCACGCGCCCTCCCCTAAACGCAACCGAGGAAGACCGATTGCGAGTTTCGCGCGCTTGCGGGAGAGGGCCACCGAGAGAAGATGACGGGTTCCTGCCGCGGAACGCTGCCTTCCAGGCACCCGGGCCCGGCTCTCGCGATCACCACTCGGGGAAACAAAGCCGACCGCTTGTCTTGTCCCTGGGTGTCAGGGGTCCCCCAGCTGCCAGTTCTGGAGCGGGTCTCAGGCTTGCATGCGCGCTCTCCCGTGCACACCCTGACCGCGAGGGGGTCCCTGGGCGCTTGCCGTGGTCTGCACCCTTGCACTCCTGGTCTCTAGGCCACTGTTGCATTTGTGTTCCTTGGGAAAGGAGGAGGGGGGCGGTCCTGCTTCATGGGCGGGTTCCCGTTCAGCCCGAGCTCCCCCTTCCTCTTTGCGGCCCTGCTCCGCTGAGAGTTTGTATTGGGCAGAGTGGATAGTGATATGCGATCTCCTGCCAGTTGTGCTGAAGACCTGGAGGCCCGAGGGGGAGGCAGAGTCAGGGGAGACCGGATTATCCACAGTCTAACATCCACTTTTGAACGGAGACGCTCTGTATCGTGATGGGACATCCAATAAAGAGAATTTTCAGTTGCTGGAAGAGGAGACCTGAACGCTTTGTTCTTCAGCTCTGGACGGTCCTTGGCTGCTGGAGTGCAGAGCTGGAAGGAATGAGTTGCTGTGGGTTGGGCTGTGGATATGTTGAGTGCCTCTGTGCAGAACGCACGGCCCAAGGCCACTCCAGAAGATTCCACAATGAGAGGGCGTTGAGGCCCTTCACACTGAAGCATGGAGGCGGGACTCCGGCCGCTTGGCTCAGATGGCTTAGCGTTCCAGCTGAATTGCCCTATTAAAGAGTTCAGTGTTTGCGGAGTTGGAAAGCACTAGGAGACAGGCACAGGAGGCACGCAGGAGGTGTTCTGTTGGGCCAGATGCAAAGGAGTTGGTGGCTCTGGCTGTGAACAGCTGGCTTTGTCAGTGTGTGTTTAACCCTACAAATGCAAGCCTGTGGGCAAACCTTAAAGAACCCAGAGACTGAATATCAAGAGTGCTCCCTTTTGGCCTGAAATTGCCCTTGACCTTTGCCTTTTCTTGTGGATTTCCTAGATTCTTCTCTGCCTCTCCCTGCCTCCCTCTATGTGCAGGAAAGCTGCAAAAGTCAGGCTTGTTTGGTTGAGAAGGAATGCCAGTGGAAGAATTTTTGCTTCAAACTTATGCTCCGTGTTCCTGATCCGTGTTATGCTGTGCCCTAAATATTTCCATGAATGGCTTAAGGCGGTGATGTCTTTCCATTTGGTTGGTAAATTCAGTCATTGGGGCAGCACAAGTTCCAAGTTTCTTCCTGAAGGAGATGAGCAGGTGAGCCTCGGCCCCTGGGTGCCAGCCAGTGCCAGTCCCCAGGCCGTGGGGGCCTCTCTCTGACTCAGAGCTGATGACCAGGGACCCAGCCTACTGCCTCCCCACAGGGCTCCTTGCCCACCAAGCTTGGCTTCTCTGCCCACTCCAGCACAGTCAGGAAACACAGAGACACAGAATGCATGCCCACTGGAGAGAACAAGGATCCCAATGTCCTCCCCGCACCCCAGCACCACTGTGTCCACCCTGTACCGGGCTGTGTCCCCTTCTCTGCCACCGCTGTCTTCAGCCAGCTACTCCCATGAACTTCCCTGGTGAACACTGTGTACCTGAGGATACACCATGAGCTCCGGCTGATGCTGGCAGGCGGGTATTAATCCAGGCGGGCTTTGTCACCACACTCTGCTGCTGCCAGTGCCAGGAGCTCTCAGTCTTTCTTTTCCCCTTCTGCCTCTTTTAGTCTTGGGTCGATGCGGTTCCCCTACCAAGCTTCCCCAGTGGGTATGTCCCCCTGTGGGTCATTTGGAGGGCAGGGTCTGCCCATTTTCAGGTGCTGGCTTGGAACTGGATAGAAACCAGGGGGGAGTCTGCATTTCTGGTTTATGAGATAAAGATGAGGACTTAGCTTGGTCAATTTCTGCACTTCATCCGCAGTGTTGAAGCCCCACACAGACCACAAGAGGAAGTTACCGTGGTGCTAAGTGGCGCCTGGCCTTAAGGGATGCGGCCTCGGAGGTTCCCAGCTTACCAGCTGTGTGGCTTTGGGGGTGCCATTTAGCCACGGAGCCCCAGTCCCTCTCCTGTAAAATGAGAATGATACCTTCCAGGAGTTGGGGGATTTGGTTCAATGAGAACAGTGGTGGAAACATTGTGATTCCAATGTTTCTGCACCTGGGGGAGTTTTTATAACCAGCGGTGCCTGGGCTGCCTCCTGGAGTGAATGAATGTCTAGCTTCACAGGTGGAAGTTAATGTTGCAGTTCATCGTAGAAGCTTGCCCTGGTGAAGGTAAGGCAGTTAAGGCTGAGGGCATGACCTTGGATCTCCTGTAGAGTCCGGCCTGTGCTTCCACTCTAATTTGTTCCTGCTTGAACTGAGGGCAGAGCCACGAGCACCCACTCGTTCCATGCATGGAGCATCCAGGCTGCTCCATCCAGGATGCAGCCACCTTCCCCAGCGGGGATCAGCCCCCTCCTGCACAGGGTGGCAGGTCTGTTTGAATCCACCCAGCCTGTGCCTGCGCCCAGAGGCCAGGTGCTTCTTGTGGGCCATTAGGCCTCCACACACTGGCCAGAAGCTGATACACAAACACATCCCACACTGCTCCCTCACCAGCCCTAGGCTGGGGCAGGAAGCAGCCACATCTCCTGTAAGGTTGGTTGTTTTCTGATTTGCCCAGGTTTCAAGGTTTCTGAGTCTGCTGACATTTAAAGGACTGGGGAGTTCACCTAAACTTTGCATTCCAGTCTTCTTGAAAACTTGGAAGAGCTGGTGGTCCTGGCGGCCCGTGGCATGCTGTGCCTGGGCAGCGTGCATGTCGGGCCTCTCCCTCCACGTGTGCCTCCTCCTGCTTGGGGTTCAGCCATCCCCACCTGTGGCTTCTCTCTGTGTGGTGGTGGGCTACAGGTAGCATGCCCCTACTCCTGAGAGAGGGAACTGGGCCCCTTTAAGGACTCTTGGGGCAAAAGCAGGAGACCATGTGCGAGACTGAGAAGCTCCTGACTCCTGGCTTCTGATCAGCTCAGCTCTGGCCATTGTGGCCATTTGGGGAGTGAACCAGCAGATGAAAGATTCTTTCTTTATGAAAATGCCTCTGTCTTTGTAAATCTGCCTCTCAG